GCCCCAAATCGTGCCACAATCGCTCCGTGGAATCCCACAGATCTTGGCGGAAGTTGACAGAGCGCCCTGCGTCATCGGACGCTTCTACCTCGCGTAGGTCAGAAATACAAAGCCGGGACTGGAGCATGGCAAATCGTAAGAGCTGACATTTGTGATCGTGAAAGAAAGAACGAGAAAAAGAACGAGAAAAAATTTGGTGGTAGACGCAAGGTTAAGCCTGTTCATTTTGCAGCCACTGATTGTTTACCTTTTTACGGTGCATGCCGCCGGCGTTTTCTCGTGCAATAAAGCAAGAACAGATTAGGCAACGACCGTGCAAGCGATGGTTTGTTACCTCTTTGTTTTTATTAAAGTCCTACCAGCAATCTGAACTCCACAAATGGCGATCGCTGTGCATGCCCCGCCGCTTCGAGGCGGTCGAAAGCTATGTGACGGGAGCGAACTGGGACGTGTTCCTCGTGACTTGTGATACGGGCTCCATTGTACGGATATTTTCACCTGGCCAGTGTCGCGTGCTATTTCTGCATTTAAACAGTGACCGTTGTGTCTAGTCGTCGCAATGCTCAAACGGCTGAGGCGTTGGTCGGCTTGTCAAGTTCGAGCAGCGGCCATTTTGAACAGCCGATCGTCTCGGGCTTTGGTCTCCAGGCGTGTCGGTGGGTCGCTCCAAAAATGCGAGTCCATCTTTCGCTCGTCAATTCGGAGCGCGTCCTACGGATCGGATTTTCGCCTCCCTCGCAAATTTTGGAAAGCGCTCCGGATGTATGAGTGAAATTCACCATTAAACGAGGTAGTTGCGGGCGCGCTCGGAAATCAATAAGCAAGGTTATATGAGAACGGTAAGTGCTAACGAGTCTTGGGTACTGGGTAGTATCGCGATACTAGTATCGCGATACTGTAACTTGTTAATTTTTTTTTTGTAACTCGATACGTTTTTTAAGCGACTGTAACGATAACTTAAATACTTATTTGAAGAAGTAACTAAAAAGTATCTGCAAAGATAGATTATTTTCGCGAAAAAAATGACCTTATTTTGTGACCACGTATGGGTTCAACCATGTATGGAGTTTGGGGCCCACGTTAGACGCGACAAAATAAAACATTAACTTAAAAATTTGCCCTTGGAGTGCCGGAGCAAAGGGCAAGCGTTTTTCTTGTTTTTTTGTTTGTTTTTTTTTTTTTCATCGCGCGGAAAAGCTCTTTGATCATTTCTTTTATTTAAACCTTCATGCGCGTGGTTCTCTCACCCGGTCATCACCCTTTCCGGCCTCATCGAACACCCCGGCCTCTTCAGGCAAGTGACAGAGCCACCTCGCGGAAACACGGGACGTGTAGACACCTAACGGTGAACTGTTTAAAGGCCGACGCACACTTCGCACTTTCCACTTTCGCCCGCCTCCCCTTTTTCTATATCCTCCCCGCTTTTTACCTTACTAAAACTTGGCTCCCCCTCGCAGCTTAGGGGAGGGGAGCGCTAAGAGGATTATCTTCCGTGCGGAAAACCGAGCTAGTACGTCGGCCTTTTAGAGAAAGAGGAAGAGAGAGAGAACGTCGCAAGAAAGAAAGAAAATAGTAGGATGGTAATTAACCGTTATCGCTCAAACGAAAGGCTGTCATGAGGGACGAACGGCAGGGGATACCGTGGCCTGATATGAACTGCACTTTGACCTTGTCGAGTGCAGTGGCAATAGCTTCTCTGCTTGCTGCAAACACTGCAAAGTCCTCTTCCTTTAACTTTCGCATGCAACTCGGGGTGAGTTTCGACTTTCATTCCTGAACGCTACCGCTAGGCATGGAGACGGAGCGATGAAAGGCTGAAACACTACGCTCTCCAGCCTCAACGACTTTCCCACCGTTAGGAAAGCTTTTTACGCCTGAAGGCTGCGCTGCCGTCCAGCGCACCCGTTGAGCGCCTCTTCAGCAAGAAAAGGGTTGTGCATCCAAAGGGGAAAGTTGAGTGATGATAACTTTGAAAAGCAGTTGCTGCAGCGTTACATGAAATAAATAATTTATTATTTAGTCCATTTCCTATCGAAGCTACATACGTTGGATATAACAAAGTCGTGCGTTGGTAATAATATATATCTCAAAAACTGAAATGAGAGTTTTCTGAGGGTTCAAAAAAAAATCGTAGTCATTTTGTACCGTCATCAATGTCTTCATAGTTAAATTTGAAAAAAAAAATCTAAAATATCTTGAAAGTGATTACGTTACTATGCCGATATAACTGCAACTGTAACGCGTTACTTTTATTTTTAGGTAACTGTAACTGTAACTTAAATACAATTCTGACAAACTATCTGTAATTGTAACTAATTACTTTTTAAAAGTAACTTCCCCAAGACTGGTGCTAAGTTCTAACTATCTTTTAAAGTGCACTATGGATTACAGAGCTGCGCATATAATTAAAGGATGGTGTAAACTCTCAGACACACTGCGCTCATCGTTTTTCTAAAAACTGATGCCGCTACATAGTTGTCCTATTTTTCTCCGGAATATAATTTTCTCTTCGCATTCAAAACAAAACAAAAGAAAAAGAAAAGCTAAAAAAATACCGTATTTTTACAAGCCTATAAATTAAGGCGGGAGTATTGCGCTGAAATGACACCTCTCAGCTACAGTAAATGGTTCTAAATTGTTGCGTATAAATACAAACAAGTGTCCCTTATGAAAAAACCGTGCAAGGTAAACAATGCAGGAAAATCATGCTTCCGTGCTTGAACATTTATTCGCACTTGCTACCGGCGCTCTGAAGCAGACAGCATCAACTAACGCCCCGACGCAGTCGGTATCAACTGACGCTTTACACACTCAAAAATATGGGGTATAGTACTTTCATACCTTGTCCCATATATAGCACAGTAGAAACTACAATTCGACGTTCAGTCCACTGATGACGAAGTGACTATACCAACATTCACGAGCGGCTTGATAGTCGAGTGATACAACTTAATAAAATAGCTTATGCACGCATCAAAGACTACTGCAAAACACTCAAGGTTTTGTTGGCCCGGCTATAAAAATCCCGTATATTTTTGTTTGTTCTTTCTGTAGTCTTTGATACGTACATCAGCTAATTAGTAAGTTATATCACACAGCTATCAAGCCGCTCGAAAATTTGGTGTCGTCTGTTCAACGTGAGTGGACTGAACGTTGAAATGTAGTTTTGGTCTGTCATGTGGGACAAGGGGTGTAAACACCAAACCTCCTTCCCCCTAATTTATTAGTGTTAGGCAGACGGTATTGACCGACGCTTAAAAGCAGACGACATCAACCGACGTTGTGAAGCAGACGAAACCGACGGTCTAAAAAAGAGCAACCGGCGTTCTGAAGCCCAGACGGCATTACGCTTGGTTCGACCGTCTCCTCGTGTTGATAGTTATACCTCCCTCTGCTTTTTGATAAATAATTTAATTCGTCTGCTTTTTTCACAAAATTTAGGTTTTCGCGTTCAGTTTTAGCCTGCTTTCACCCGTCAAGTTTTGGACTCTGTGCTGACAGTTTATTTATTTTCTGCTTTTCACGTTTTATTTGTGTTTACCTTTTTATTGAATATTTAGTTTATTCTTTCGCGCTTTGGCCGTAAATTCTGCCCATCTGCTGTGTCCGTCTACTTTCTTTGTTAACGTGGTTAGTCCTGTTCGTCAGTTTTATACTCGGCTGACTTTTGCAGGCCTGTAGCTCTACAGTTTGGAGGAGCGACCCTGTCAAGAAAAATCAGATATTTTTAAGTCGGGTTTACGTTGTGCGTCAGCACGCTCAGTCAAACGGATATAAATTTGTGAAATGAAAGACCCGGAATATTAAATGTTTAACACTAATTTTAGCGCTTTGATAATTTATTTTAATGGCAATCACCAAGTCCAATAATTGAAGTAGAAGAATAGTGATTGTATATATGTTCCTGAGCTATAAGATGTTTTTATTTTCTGTAAAGACACCAAACTGTTGAAGAGAACGTGCATGTAGTTATAAAAGAAATCTTATTATTCTTTCAGATTACTTTTCTTGGCTTTCAGACACAACATCTGGCACTTTTTTTTTTATTTGTTTGCAAAATAGCAACTCTCACGAAATTACTTCTTCGCATGAAAGCAAAAACTGACTGTAACAATTAAGAGCTTGCTATTGCAGGTGTAAATCACTCAAAAATTATCAATATTTATCTTTTCATAAGCCCGGGAAAAAAAATTTAAGATCGCAAAAACGTCTGGGAGCACGGCTATGTTTTTTTATTGAGATTACAGATGATTAACCTAATAATCAACCAAATTTTAACAACTAAAATTAATGTCGCAAAATATTTTTTTCTTGAACCCAAGTATTCCTCGGTAGAATGACCCAATTCTTCGAGTCAGCCATTATTTACGCGCGTGTCCTCAGCATGTATTGAACGCGATGGTTCCATTAGCGATCGGCATGGACTCAGCTTAGCTCGTATCGAGGGCCAGTTCAGAGACAGTGTTTGGCGAAGACTCGGATTCAATCCCAGGTTTCGTGTTCAAGAAACGGCGACAATCAGTGTTGCTTGATGAACTTCTGAAAAAGGCTCTGCTTGGAGGAGGAAGTCAACAAAAATAGATATGGACAACCGGCGTCTTGCAACATTTATCTCACAACGCACGTCCCTGGTCTTTCAAAGTCATTCTTTCACAATATAGTTACAAAAACCTTCAACAAATCGAAGAAGTTTGCTCAGGACTCAGACGGCAGACTTCTAAGATTAAGGTATTTACGCCCTTGAGTCACAATATGAAATGCCTTAACATTGAAGGAAATTACATCGAAAAATGTGTTATGGCATGTGAAATTTATTTAAAAAATAAAGTATTTCACATACTTTTGGTAAGTTTTTTATTACAACACAAAACTTATATTCTGGATATATCCCTTATATGTTCGCATTATTATTCGCATGAACATTAAATTCCTGCCATGTCTTTAACATGTAATATATAATATCCAAGTTGCCACAACAATATTTTTTTTATCAATTTCAGGCTTTGGAAGTCGAAGGTGAGTCGGTTTTTTTTTATTTATTATTATATATTTACCTACTGTCACGCGCGTCGCCGAGCGAGCGCGTGCGTGGTCGAATTGGTTACCGTGCTCGGCTATCAAGTGGAGGCGCCATGTTCGATTCTAAGGAACAGACTCCTCTTTTATTAATTCTTTCAACTTGACATTCTCGTAAGTTCGAGAACCGTGTCGTCTGATTGAGTTGCGAATGTTTTACATGCCGAACGCTCTATCCCGAATGTTCCAGAAACCCACGCGGGTACAAAAGATGCTCCGCGTGGCTGCCCGGGGTCAGTCTCGCTCTTGCGCTCGATCGTATTACTCCGGCGACCTTCGACGCCTGCGACGCTACCTCTCTGTATTTTTGTTTTCGGCACAAGTTCGCCCCATTAAACGTTTTGTTTCTGTTCATTCGTCACCTCATCATCTGTCATTCTAGACAGATGATGAGGCGATGATTCCGCCGATATAATGTTCATAACGCAATTGAACTGTGTTTTTCTTTTGCGTCTTAAAGAATGGCAGAAAAATACGTAATGACTCACCTTCGAATAATTCAGTCAAGACAAATTATGAAAATTGTTCACTGGCTACAACGTGCGGAATATTTAACACATTAGTAACTGACGGCCTAAACACACTTGGCGTGACCTATTATTATGACGCTTGATGATTGATGGTTCGTCGTCCACCATTCTTATCTTCTGATGCCACAACCTCATTGGCTGCTGGGCAATAAGAACACACCCAGAACCTGCAATGTCCTATGTTTCTTAAGATGTCAGTGACATATAGCTTAACAACTAGCCCTACGGAGTGTTATATGTTTCTGGTTAGAGTGAACGCCTGCACCAAGTAGATGGAAGTTCGCAGCACTTTGGTGCTGTCGGCCAGGAGCTTAGAAGTTTGTTGGCATATTTTCAAATACAAAGCAAAGTTGTTCTTTTTTTTTCTTTTTGGAATGGCAGTTCTTTTTTAAGGTAAATCGTGAATTTCTGTAAACAGATTAGGATTAATTTGGGTATGACGTTACGTTACTCAGCTCTGATGAATGTATACCATAATGATAAACGGACTTACCTATATGTTATGCTTTGCTTCAGCATAATTCAGAGCAAAGTCAAAGCATAGGTAATATACACATGCACAGAAGAATATTAAAAAAAACACATGGTTCAGGGCACATTCACAGCGCTTAATTTATTCACTTAGCGGGGATTAACATGTCCAGAGTAGAAGGACAAACGCCATGATTGCGTTTTAGGTCCTTCTTGATCTCGGTCTCGTAGTATCGGCTGCACTCTCACCTACGGCGAAACGCGGTGCAGTAAGTGAAAATATTGATAAGCCCTCCTTGAATAAAAAAAGAGTAAAAAAAGGGCAGAACTATGCGCTCACAACTCAAGTTTATTCAGAAAAAAATGAAATGGATACGCACATAGCACTTCTAAACCGGACGAGCGTGCGCCCTCCTAAGGTCATTGACAACCTCAGGAACGCAGGACGAGGCGACTTCAGAACATTTTAACATCGCTTCGCAACCAATCACATTGCGGCGTTGACGGATAAGAACGCCGAAGAACGAATTACGAGCAAGCAGCGTAAACATAACTGCCACGCCCTATGTTTCTTAAGCTGTCGCTGGCGATAGTACACTGTATCATGACATTATTATGTAATCCTGATTTATGAGCTCAAGACCACGCTAACAATACGAACACTAAAAAAAAATACAATATATCAAAATCTAACGAAAAAAGAAATTACATCTCCTTTTTTATTAGAATTAAAGAAGGTTGGCTTACTCAAAGGGATCACTGCTTTTTTTATATAATATGTGTCAAGTAGCCTTCTTGATAATGGGTCTCTGTTTTAAATGTAGAGCCGTGTCGCTTGCTCCTGCACTTTGTCCCCCATTGTCCTCGTTTCTGTTCGCGTTGTTTTTATCATGGACGTTCACCAACCTGCAAAACATTACTTTCTGGTATGAATAATGAGTTTATTTTTTATTTTTATTACTCTTCCTATTCTTGATCATGGCATTTTATATTAAGACACATTTGTGAACAATTTGAACCTGACCACCTCGACCTGCTTGCTCGCTTTGCTTCTCTCTGCAGAGACCCCCCCGAAGGTCTTCAATCTCACGGATGCATTAGAGTCCTTTGTTAAGATTTTTGAACTAGCATACCCAGCCAAAGTGAAGTGGACAGATATGTGGTCGGAGCGTGAAGAAATGAAAGAACTCTTCCCTACTAAAATGTAACTAAAACTCAGCCTTAACTCTCACACAATTGGAAGTATATTACGACATTTTTCTTCTACGTGATGTTTTTGTTTGTTTTTTTAATTCGTCTCTGCAACACGGTGTTATCAATATAGCAAAATAACAGGTCTGGTTTTTCCTCTATGATATTCACATCGAGTGATTCGGCCGCAAAATAGAAGCACCTGATTTTTGTACCCCACTGGAAACAAAAACAAAAACAATAGATATACTAAAGATTCCTAATATGAGGCTAGACAACATTTTACGGGAAAAAATCAGTCAACTGGAATAAAGAAACTCAGCAGGAAGAGCTTAAAAAGAGACAGACGTGTAACTCAGAAAGCATTCGAACAATAATAGACTGCTAAAAGAATTATACATTTACTGATAAAAAAAAACATTTAGGTGCCTATATTTCTATGGTGAAATGGACACCAGTTTTGTGTTCCCCAACCCGGTATTGCCAGCGAAAGTATGAATTAGGCCCGATTACTGATCAACGGTTTCTTGATTGCTTCGTTAGTTTGAAAATATAAATTGTCACCGACAAAGTTAAAACAGCTGGGTGTGTCTTCCGAATGCCCGGGGTTCAGTACCGGCTTCGTGTCTTTCGTCGTACTTTGACTGCGTCCCCGTGCACGAGGTGCACGAGACAACGAAGCATTGTCAAGGGCATGAAACTCACACTGTAGGCGAGACAACCGAAGCTATTCCCTACCCGAGGTACAGTCCTCCGGATCAAAATTATGTTCTTGTCTCGACAATTTGGTCCTTAAAACCCCAAAGAATCCAAGGTGGAGCCAAACTTGTCCTTCTTTGACCGGAGTCTGCGTTTCTTGGCCCTGATTCTCCAAACAAGCGCACAAGCTTGGCTTTGCTGTCGGTAGTTTGGCTGTCATCTGTCATCTCTGGCCCTAAATCGCGAAACAAGTGGCAGACATATAGGCTTCACTTCTATGTTCTGGTTCGGTTTTAATGGGGCGAATTTGGGTCTAAATTTCCAAACAAGTTCTAGATTTTTTGCTTCGGTGGCGAACCAGAAAAAAATTGTGACGAACCAGAAAAAAGCCATAGAAACTCCAAAGAAAAATGGCATGGCGTTAACTAACGCCTTCGACTAAATCCGTACAAGGCCCAAGCTAGACCCTTAAGATTGCCAAACCTGTGCCAAATTTGGCGTTTCTCCGACCTGCTACTTCGAGCCCTTTTTTACCTTGTCGATGACTATGACTGGATCATTTTAAATATGTCTTGCTTCAAAGATTTCAGGTAACAGTCGAAAGGGGCCCTATAACAATTGGTGAGCCAAACGCAAACAGCAGTACCCGCACTCTTCTCTACGCAAATCTGTATGACAATGAAGCTAATGCAAGACAAACGTATACCGTCACGCATACTGCCATTCGTAAGGAAAAATCATCTCACACGGTGAAACTAGGATTCAGCCTCGGCCTTGAGCTGTCGGGAGGATTTACATTCGAAGAAACACTCGGGCTGAGTGGCAGCGTCGGAATTAAGACTGAAAGAGAAACTGCCAAGACAGACACTGAAACGAAACTCAAGTCTTTTGCTGTCGCCACGAGTGTCACCGTTCCTCCTAACAGGACCATTCAAGTGGAATGGTACGCCACCACAACTCAAAAAGTACGTGATTTGCTATCTCTATCCAGGGTGCCACTGCCAACTTTCTTTTCTCGGGGAGACTAGAAATGCAAATTTCTGACTCGCAGATGTTGACAACTCAATTAGCAGCATTACGAATTGTGAGGTTGCTTTGTTGTTGTTGTTTTTTGTTTTATCAAAGCCTCCTCGTTTTGTCTCTCTTATATGTTTGTCCGATCAAATCTGTTATGCCCGAGTCCCACTAGAGCGACAAACAGAAACAAACGACAGCGACAAGCCTCTAACCCAGGCAGCATGCCCGCGATGGTATGTACCTTTCGCAGGCGTTTAGTCGTTCGGTGCCCGTGAAGTAAGCACGAGTGATTGCAAGTCTGCCAAAGGTACCCCCGCGTGCATGATGCTTGTGTTTGAGCAGTCTCCTTTACTCGACAAAGCCTTTCAAATCGCGAAAGACTCTGGTTTAAGGCTTGTCGCTGTCGTTTGTTTCTGTTTGTCGCTCTAGTGGACCTCGGGCATTACGATCATTATTATCAGTCTTCCCTTTATGGCTTTGCCTTACAGATTTCTATTATATTTAATAAAAGCGAATAATTGTTATTGACGCTATCTCCGCAAAACGGTATTTACCTGCTCTGGGTATTATTTATCAAAACAAAATTTTGTGAGTTCTTTATAAAAGAGGTAACGCGTGATCGATATGAATCTTGTGAGGGGAGCGTTTGAAGCTGTGTTTAATTTGAAAACTAATCTTTCGAAAAGGGTAAGCTCTCCTTTGTTATGTTTTGAAAACAAGACAACAAATGTAACGATATTATCACTGCGTATTTTGCTATGCCATTGCATATTGTAACTAAGACTGGAAAGCCTCCTCTAGACCAAGTACTTCTAAAAAATAAAGAAACAAACACGCATACTTTATTTACTCCGCTTTGACAAGAAAACACTCCTTGCGCATTACTGTAACACCGAACGCCGCTAGAAAAAAATCCAGATCTTTGTAAAGGTACATACGCTTTTTAATAACGCAACCAATTGCTTATTCAAGCTTTATAGACTCTCCGAACGTTGTTCTTGTTATTTCCAGGATTTTGTGTGGAAGCGGATTGTGACCATCAGTGGATATTTTGCTATGGGGCTGCAGAATAACATGGAAAACACGAATGTACTGATCCTTCCAGTGAGTTACCTTGCCCTTGTGAACAAGGAAATGACAGTAGTAGGCGGCAGGCACGTGCAGTTCGAGGCTTCTGGTATATTCAGAACAATCACCGTGCCGGAATCTGACATCTACACAACAGACGTGACGGACGCTTTAAGGGACAAAACAACGACGATTTCTGGATGGTCTGGGACTGTTGGGTAAATTTCAGAACCAGGCGGGCGCTTTCGACATATTAAAGTGGCGGCCCCACGTCCGCAACCATAATACCGGTGGCTTCTGTGCTCAACATCGCGATTACGTTAAGCTGTCTTTTCGTTTGTCAAGATTTTTTCTTCTTCTTCACTTTTTTTCGCAATAAAAGCATTTTTGTGTGTGTTCAGAAAGCAATATTTATCTCTCAAAACGTAGCTCACAATAAAGAAAATATCAAGTTTCTTGGTTGATGGATTTGTTACACAACCAACTGGCATTCTCGGTTTATGAATAGGTAGAAGAAGGAAATTATCAGTTTTGTGTTGACGTCTTGTGTTTCAAATTAGTGCATGTATATTTTGCTATATATATTTGAAAAGTGTTTTTTTTTTTCTGAAAATTTAAAGTGCTGTAACTCATGCCTGACAACGTAACTCAGCAACAATGTTTTAGAACCGATTCCGGCAAAATAACGTGGGAACGAAACAACTCGCACTCAACTATAGACTACTGCCTCATGTCCCACAAACTGTATGCCAGGTTAGGAAGTATGGAAATAGATGAGGAAGGAACAAATAGCTTAGGGAGTGACCACAAACGAATTAAGATTAAATTTGGTGCACCCAAACCAGAACAGCAAGCCCAGGAACGAGCGGGTAAACCTAAACTGAGTGAAGATCAAATACAAAAAGTATCGAAAAGCATTGAGAACATAGTATCGAAACAACCAGAAAGGGAATGGGCATATGAGGACCTAATAGGAATCTTTAAAAGAGAATTAGAGAAGCATCGAATTAAACAAAGAGGACAGCAAAAACGAAAACACAAACCAAAAAGCTGGTGGGATAAGGAGGTCAAAGCAGCCATATTGCAGCGCCAAGAGGCATCTAGGGAGCATAGGTGGGCAAAGAGAAGCGGAGCCTTGCCAACTGAGGTAGAATCAAAATTGGAAAACTTCCAAGAGCGAAAAAGGGAGGCATCAGCTTTAATACAGACCAAAATTGGGAGTGCAGGAGTGCAGTGGATGATGGAAATAAATAAAAAAGATAGGAATGCAGCGAAAAGGTTTTGGGAACATATTAAAGCGCAAGGGAGAAAGACAGATAGTTTCCAACACATACTAACCACACAGGAAGGGAGAAGAGTGGAGGGGGAAGAGGCACGGGAATATATTAGGCAGACAATCGAAGGGGCTTTCTCCCAGCTTGAGCAGAGGGGGATAGTGGATAACTCTGACAGCAGCAGCATAGAGGAGGAGCAGAATTATGTAACAATGGAGACGACCACAAGGGAATGGGATAAGGCAGAAAGTAAGGTTCCAGCAGGTACAGCGACAGGCCCAGATGACATACCCATGGAACTCATTAGGACACTAGGAAAAACAAGCAAATTGAAGTTACGACATACAATAAATCAAATAATTATGGGAGGAGAGGTGCCTAAGGATTGGAAACTGAGTAAAATGAGACTAATATATAAAGGCCGAGGAAACAAAGACAACATTAAGTCATATCGCCCAATAACGGTAAATTCAGTTCTACACAGAGTGGTTATGCAGATAGTAAAGCGGAGAATGGAGGAATGGGTAGAAGAAAATCAAATACTGGGTGAGCTCCAAAACGGATTCCGAAGAGATAGAAGACTGGAAGATAACTTATTCGTCACCACACAATGTATAGAAATAGCAATGAAGAACCAGACTCCTTTGTGGTTGGCTTATTTAGACATCAAGGGAGCGTACGATAATGTGAGCCAGGAAAAACTCTGGAGTCAGCTGAGGGAATATAACTTAGATGCATATTTGGTTGGGTTTCTTCAGCAGGTGTATACAGACAATAAGGTAATTATAGCATGGGAGGCAGAAACTACACAACCCGCAGCGATAAAAAGAGGGCTCAGGCAGGGCTGTCCACTGTCACCTCTGCTTTTCATGATATATCTCAGGGAAATGGAAAAGAAATTAGAGCAGAGCAACTTAGGTTTTGATGTGAGTTATATGGAAGGAGGGAGAAATGTAGTACAGGTAATACCAGGACTGATGTATGCCGATGACATAGTACTTATGGCAGATAACCAGGATACGTTACAGGAACTAGCTAGAATATGTGGAGAGGAAGGGGACACAATGGGCATGAGTTTTAGTAGAGAAAAGTCTGGAGTAATGGTGTTTAACGACAAAAAGAGGGAACCCCTGAGGATACAGGACATTGAAATAGACCAAGTAGGAAAATACAAATATCTGGGAGTCTGGCTCAATGAGGAAGCGAAATATCTAGAGGAACATGAGGAGAATATAATTAGAAAAGGGAAAAGAAATTCATCAATTATGAAGCTCAAGGCGCTATGGAACTATAATAGATATGAAGTGGTCAGAGGTATATGGAAAGGAGTGATGGTGCCAGGGCTGTCTTTTGGCAATGCAGTGCTGTGCATGAAATCAGAGGTTCAATCAGGATTAGAAATTCGACAAAGAAGCGTAGGCAGGCTGGCACTGGGAGCACATGGAAAAACACCAAATGAGGGAGTACAGGGGGACATGGGATGGTCGTCTTTTGAGAGCAGGGAGGCAGTTAGTAAGTTGAAATTTGAACAAAGGTTGACCGAAATGGATGATACGCGGTGGGCACGGAAAGTATTCAAATATTTGTACATGAAAAGTTTAAACACAAAATGGACAAACCGAACCCGAAAGCTTACATTTAAATACCTACACACTGGTGATGGGGCTGAACAGACTACTTCAGTGAAAAAAGGGGTGAAAGAGGCAGAGAGAAAAATGTGGGAAGAAAGAATGCAGGATAAATCAGCTCTAACAGTGTACAGGTCACGAAAGCAGGACATAAGAAAGGAAAATGTGTTTGACAACTCAATAGGAAGTTCTTTGCTGTTCGAGGCGAGAACGGGGGCTTTGAGGACGAGGACGTATAGGGCTAAATTTCAGGAGATAGACACATTATGTGCTGCTTGCCATAATGAGAGTGAGGCACTTGAGCACTTGGTATTAAAGTGCACGGGGCTTCGTCCTGCACTCCCTGAAGGGGTAACAGATCTGGCCGGGGCCCTGGGGTTTGCTGGCGATGATGGAGGGACGGAGGAGAAGAGGATTGCAGTCACAAAGAGGCGATTAGAAGATTGGTGGAAATTATCTAGGGAAAATTGAATGATGCAGAACTAACTAGCACAGCTGGGGACAGGCGGGACAGAGGAAAATTGGGACTCCCTCCCGCGTGGCTCCGGCCCAAAGTCTCAACCCTGTCTCCCAGTGGGTCCGGTGCGGGGGTAACGCCGACAAGGTCTGACCAGAGGAAAATTGGCGACTCCCTCGCCGGGGGGAAGAGGCGGGGGTGATGTTTTTAGTTTTTTTGCCCGATCCCCCAAAGGTCATCCTGGTGATATCCCACACTACCTGGTGATAGTTAGGGGGTAGAAAATTGGCTTAGAAGGGCGCGGGAAATCAAATCAAATGTTTGTCTTTCTTAGACTTAGGCTAGGTGGCGCAAGCTACCACCCGCTACAAAGGGTATAGCCAGTAACATCCATCCATCCATCCATCCATCCATCCCGGTACACCTACAAATTTAACAAAAACTAAAACCAGAAGCGCAACGCCAGCCGCTTCTTCATAAAAAGTATGTTGGTACAACAAAAGATTAAAAATGTGCATACCACGAGATTTACGTTTATTTAAACAAAAACGATAAACAACTACTATTTTATGTATTAAATATTTTATGCAGTACCAAGTTGGTCTGTGTTATGAAAACCTGCGTTCAGGCTAAAATAAAAAGTTATATCTGGGAAAATATCAATTTATCTTTCAAATAATCTCATTTTCATAAGGCCTCAAGTGTGATTCGTTCGATTAAGTATCTTCGTTGTCCGGAAGAGTCGAATGTGTGCATCTTTGATTTCAAAATTAAGCGATCCTAGCGTTGAGCGTGAAATTCAAGCTGGCGTGGCAGAGATACGCGCTCGACGGCCCCGGCTCGCTGCACCTTTTATTTCGCGGAGATCTGCCGTAGCAAAGTTTCTCAGTCAATTGCGGAACATTCCAGCATTTCAAGAAGTCAGTATAAGCGAAAACGTAACGAGCGACCGATTTAATTGCGGAACACGCGAAACGTAGCGGTAATGTTTCTATTTAAAAGCATGCAAACGAAACCCGAACCGGAAGCGTTCTCGGCTCCCTGTCATGGCGGCCCGGAAGCGGCCCGAATACCCCAATGTATTCTTATTTTCCACTTTTTATGTCCATGCGTATCCTATGATGCGAGCCGAGGGGCCAATAAAGCAGCGCCAAAATTGCATCGTCACGGCGGTCGTCGTCTTTCCGCGAACGTTATCGCGGGTTAAACTAATCATGAACAGAAAAGAGCGGCGCAGGATCACGGAGCATTCACCGTGCGTGCTTGGTTTAGTCGCTGATAGCAAACATTAAAAACGATTGGCTCTATTGGATCACCGCAACGGCTGAACCCGGACTTCGGACTTAGTGAATCTCCTATACACTGACAAAGGCTGGCAGATCGCCAGGAGAAGTGGCCGCCGAAATGGAAAAGGTGGAGCGGCAGACAACGGATGAGTAAAGTCCCTAGATAAGAGCTCCTTACAAGTAGCGACATTCTTTGAAGTGCCGACTGCGTGACGGTGCAGGTTTTAGGAAGCGAAGGGCGGCGCACAGCTGAAGAGTGAGCGTAATGCCGCCATTTTGTTTCAGTGGAATGTGCTTTGCCATTCGTATTGGTTGTCGTCACTTGTAAAAGAAGGATCAAGGGACTTTACGGATGAGAGGAGAGCCACGTGACTGGCGCCCCGCTGCGGCGAGACGCCGGAACACACTTCTCTCCACCGAACAAGTGTGTTTCGGGTCCTCGCCGCTGCAAAAGATGTGCGCTGACGTCCAGGTTGCCTGCAGATGTCTCTTTAATTCTCGGTGCTACCAGATCCTCGCTCTCCAAATCTGCGACCGGGCACTCTATGGCTCCGTCGTCGAACTGCCAGGCTTTGTGAGTAGAGAGGAGGCTATGGTGAAACGGAGAACAGCGAGCTTTCCTTTTTTTCAATGCGATTACCCACTGTCCCGAACACGCATTATAGTGTAATTTGTTTACTTAAATTTACAAAGGACGAAACTGGAGGGAACTTTCACTAAAGACCTTTTCATCCTCCCCGCATGGGTGCTGCC